CCCAGGGCCCCTGCTGCCACCCCCGGCCCTGCCAGCCGCCCACCCTGGGCTGTGGACCCCTCGTTTGCCGAGCGCTACGCCCCGGACAAGACGAGCACGGTGGTGAGCAAGCACAGCCAGCCGGCCACGCCGACCCCCATGCAGAACCGCAGCTCCATCGTGCAGGCAGCCCAGCAAGCCCCCGAAGGGCCCGGCCGTACACCCCTCTGCTACAAGTGTAACAAGGTCATCAGGTGAGCCCTGGCCACCACTGCCACCGTGCCAGCGTCCTGAGCCTCGGCGTGGCTGACGGGGCTCTGTCCTGTCGCAGGGGACGCTACCTGGTGGCACTGGGACATTATTACCACCCCGAGGAGTTCACTTGCTGCCAGTGCAGGAAGGTGCTGGATGAGGGCGGCTTCTTTGAGGAGAAAGGCTCCATCTTCTGCCCCAAGTGCTACGACACACGGTATGCGCCCAGCTGTGCCAAGTGCAAGAAGAAGATCACCGGGGTGAGTGTCCCTCAGCCTGCCCCACACCTCCTGTCCTTGCTCCCCACTCACCTACGGGTGCCTGGGTCTGTCCCTTCCCGTCTTGATGCCATCCCATGGGATCCCTTGTCCCTTTCTGCCCTGGGTGAGCCTCCCCCACGGCGCAGGGTGTCTCTCCCCCCGGCTGACAGCCGTTCCCCTCCAGGAGGTCATGCACGCACTGAAGATGACCTGGCATGTGCAGTGCTTCACGTGCGCTGCCTGCAAAACTCCCATCCGCAACCGTGCCTTCTACATGGAGGAGGGACAGCCCTACTGTGAGAGAGGTAGGACGCAGGGACTCCATGTGTCACCCTGGGGGTGACATGGCCCTGGGGCACCAGGCACCATCGGGGCTCAGCAGCTGCCCACGGGGTGGGAGGGTGAGCTTCCGTGCGCTGCGGAGCTCCCCCTGAGCCGTGGGGAATGCAGGGACCCCGCTCCCGCAGCCCCAAGCCATCCATCCATCCCAGTCCTCGCCGGCTGCCGGGTAGTGCCATCGCTCCCGTGTTGCCATGGTGATGACGGAGGATGTACATCAAAGGCAAGTGCTGCATCCTGGGAGATGAGGTTTGCCTCCTCCCTGCGGCCCGGTGGCAGCCAGAGCCACCCTGCATGGCACTCGGGTGTCTCAGGCATTGTCCCCCTGGGGCTGGCAGTGAGTTGTCCCCAGGCTGTGCCCGTGGGATCCCAGCTGAGCTGCAGCCCTGCTGCCCTGGGAAGAGGGGCTGCGGTGCTGGGGAACGCTGACCTGGGCTCTGCCTCTGCCCGCAGACTATGAGAAGATGTTTGGCACCAAGTGCCGTGGCTGCGACTTTAAGATTGATGCTGGGGACCGGTTCCTGGAGGCGCTGGGGTTCAGCTGGCATGACACTTGCTTCGTCTGTGCGGTGAGCCATCTGCCTCCCTCTATGGCTGCTGGGGGGGGGTGGTGGGGTGGCTCTCCCTGGCAGTCGTGCCCTGCATGGGGTACGCCAGCAGCGTGGGGTCCCTGCTGCCACAAGGTTTTCCCCACTTGGCTCTGTGCTGGTGGCTTGGGACCCTGCTCTGAGCCTCCGGCTCCCTGACACCTGTGTGACACCAGTGCTGAGCCCTGGGCCATAAGGGGGAACCTGGGGGCTGGCTCGACCCCCCTGACCTGACCGGCTGCGCTCTCCTCCCCAGATCTGCCAGACCAACCTGGAAGGGAAG